ACCATGACCAATGCCTATTTCTTCTATAATCGCACCGCTCCCGTCTCCCATATACGTATGTATGATGTATAATATCTAATATATATATTTATATCTATTACTAGTAACTACTAATCATAAGTCATGAACAAATGTTATTTTGGATCTGATTGGGGTCTACTACTACTACTATTACTAGTTTAAAATGTTAAGCAGAATTTTATATATAAAGAAGACTTACACAAGTGTTCTTCATTTACAGAAACCGCAAGTTTTGGTGGTGGTGCCTTGTTCGCCATGAGGAAGACAGCAGTGGCCCAAGACAGTCCAGTATTCCACTCAACCACCGCCGCCCTGGGAGCTGTAGCACCTCAAGCCGTAGGATTCGCCGCCGAGGCAGGAACTGCAGCTGCACCTACTGTGCGAAAGAACTTTGCGGAGACTTGGATTTTCGCCGATATTGAGAGCACGGAGGAGGAGGTCTTCAAGTGGGTAAAGACCATACCCGATACGATCACCAGCTGGGTGGTTACCGGCTTTTCGCTGCATCCCCAGAAGGGATTGGGTGTCACGGATGAGAAGACGAACATCAAGACATTCCAACCGTTTTTCGTCTCTGTCCGGCTGCCCTTCTCCGTGAAACGCGGTGAAGTAATCAATGTGCCGGCTCTGGTCTTCAACTACCTGCCCAAGATTCTGGACGTGGAACTGACCCTGGATAATGGGGACGGCGAGTACGACTTTGTGGATGCCTCGAATGAGGTTATTGGCGACCAGAAGCGTTCGCAGAAAATCCGAGTGGGTGCCAACGAAGCGGCAGGAGCCTCATTCCTGATCCGCCCCAAGGTGATTGGCAATATTTTGCTGAAATTCACGGCCATCTCACCGCTGGCCGGTGATGCTGTGCACAAGGCGCTCAAGGTGATCCCCGAGGGTATCACCCAGTACCAGAACCGGGCGTTCTTCATCAATCTTAAGGATACGGGCGAGTTCAAGAACACCTTCGAGTTGGAAGTGCCGGAGGATGTGGTTCCGGATTCGGAGCGCGTAGAATTTGGACTGGTGGGTGATCTTCTCGGTCCGGTGGTGAAGAACTTGGAGAACCTTCTGCGATTGCCCAGCGGCTGTGGTGAGCAGACCATGTCCAAGCTGGTGCCCAACTATCTGGTCCGGGATTACCTGAAGAGCATTAAGAAACTGACGCCTGCGCTGGATACTCGGATCAAGAGGAATCTGCAGGAGGGCTATCAGAATATGTTGCACTATCGCCACGACGACGGCAGCTACAGTTCCTTTGGACCCCACAAGTGGAGGGAGGAGGATCCGGAACGAAATGGTTCCACTTGGCTGACCGCCTATGTCCTGCGTTCGTTTAGCAAGATCAAGGATATCGTTGATCTGGATGAGCAGCTCTTGGCCAAGGGCTACGAGTTCCTGCTGACTCGCCAGGCGGAAAACGGAAGCTTTACGGAGGAGGGAGAGTACTTCTATGGCTCCCAGCGATCTCACCTGACCCTCACGGCCAACTCACTTTTGGCTCTGCTGGAGGAGGAGAAACCCAACCAGGCGGCCATTGACAAGGCAGTGTCCTATCTCAGCGCCAATACGGCTGATTCCGTGGAGCTGTTGCCCAAGTCCATTGCCATCTATGCTCTGCAAAGAGCCAATGCTCCAGGTGCTGACAAGCAGGTGGAGAGCCTCAAGTCCCTGGCCCAAAAGGAGGACGATCGCACTTGGTGGACCGAGGATCTGGAGAAGCTGCGCACCTCCAAGAACTGCGGACGCTGGTGGTGTTGGATTTGGAGTCAGGATGTGGAGATCACCTCCTACGCCCTGCTGTCGCTCCTGGAATCAGAGCAGGAGACGGCCGACACGGTTCTGAACACGGTCCGTTGGTTGGTGGCCCAGCGTAACAGTTTCGGAGGATTCGCTTCCAGCCAGGACACGGTTATGGGTCTCACCGCCCTGATCAAGTTCGCCGAGAAGTCGGGCTACGAGGCGGCCAAATGGGACGTGACCGTTTCCAACAAGGGAAAGCGCGAAAAGACCGAGAAGCTGACCACATCGGATGAGAATGATCTGCTGCTTCAGACCGTTGAGTTCCCGCAGGGCACCAAGTCCCTGGAGTTTGAGGCCAAGGGCACGGGCGCTGCTCTCGTCCAGATCAGCTATCAGTATAATGTAGTGGAGAAGGATCCGAAGCCCAGCTTTAAGGTTGAGACCACCGTCTTGCCTGAGACTTCGCCAGCCAAACTGGAGTTGAACGTTTGCGTGGACTATGTGGAGGAGGGCAAGAGCAAGGAATCGAACATGGCCATTCTGGAGGTTTCCCTGCCCTCTGGATACACTGTCGATGAGGACAGCTTCAAGGAAATCCGTCAGATCGAGCGTGTGCGGGTAAGTTTAAAGGCTCCCCCTATAATTAACTTCTATGTTTTTATTACAATTCTATTATTATTTCCTTCACAGTTGGTGGAGACCAAGAATGGCGACTCTGTGGTGGTTGTCTATTTTGAGAATCTGTCCAAGAGCCAGAGCAAATGCATTCCCATCGAGGCCTACAGGACGCATGCGGTGGCCAACCAGAAACCCTCCTCGGTGATCCTCTACGATTACTATGACACGAACAAGAAGGCCACCGAGTACTACTCCATCGACTCGAAGCTCTGCGATATTTGCGAAGGAGACGATTGCAAGACAAAGTGCTGAAGTATCCAAACCAAAACGAACCAATAATGCTTTCTGTCCTTATATAAAATAAAATATTGTGATTATAATGTAATATACAAAGTGTTCTTTCGTTTTTTACAAAGTAAGTCAAGTAATGAAAGTGTTTTTGCTTGAATTCAAAGATAACAATTCTGTCTATCGCGTTGTGTAAATCCATATAACACGTCGACTCGTCTCAAATGTGGAGTGATCATTTACTATAAGTTATTCGATATTGACGAAATAAATCGGAGTAATACCATGGCCCATAGCGTCAAAAAGAAATCGAAATCTTCGGCAATTTTGATAAAATGGTTCATGGATAGCGCCTTAGTTAAATAACATAAATCTGGATTGCGATTTTTAATAAAAACTATGGCAACTGGGCAATTCATGGATATTAAACAAACAGACAGAAGAAAAAGATAACAGATGTGACTCTGATAAACTTGTAGCCCAACATAAGTCCATAGTCCAGCAGAAATATGATGCATATATGGTGGGCAGAGGATGTGCCGAAACGAAGCCCTCAAGAAGTCGAGATCACATCCTTCGCTTTTCTTTCTCTAATGTAATTAAAACAAGTTATTCCAAAATCCGCTTTCAGCACAATTCTATGAATTTTGGGAAAAATATGTAATTAGTTTTGGAAAGTTCGAGTCCAGTCAGCAAACAGTTGTGGGTTTCACAACCCTGATTACGTTTAAGGACAGACAGGTTGGGAAGTAAGCGTCAGCGATGAGAATATGTATATCCAAAAAAAGTCTTAGGGCAGAATAATGATATGCCGCTGCAATGGATAAGATTTCCTTAGGGAACCAATTTCCTACAAATTCAGCCAAGGATACAAGTGCACCTTTATTCCAAATAAGCTATCTGTATTACTTAGTGAAGAAAAGGACTAATCCAAGTTCCTGGATTCAGTGTATAGTTAAATCTTTGGGAAGGTGTACGAGTAAGTACACATTTATTCAGCCTATAGTTAAATCTTTGGGAAGGTGTACGAGTAAGTACACATTTATTCAATAATTATGATATTTTATTTTAATCCGAGGTAACTGTATACTTTAAAAGTCTGGCCAAGAATGAAGAGAAATGCACTCCCATTGAAACGTATAGATCGTTTGAGGTGACAAATCTTAAGCCGTCCGCAGTTGTTATCTATGATAATTATGACAGGAAGGCAACCGAATGTTATCAATTAGAATCGAAGCTCACCTAAAGTACTCAGTATCGAGTGCAAAGCTTCGTAAATCAAGCCATGTCATATCAATCTGGGCACCGCCGATCTAATCGCTCAGCATTATTTTAGCACTACTTGAAGTTTAATCCAATATACCTTAATCACGCTCAATGTCAGATGGCAGATAAGAAATTCGCTGAGTCAGCAATTAATTTTTGTAAACATTGCGATACATTATTTCATTAAAAATGTGCAGCTTATCACAGCCGTAAACTTTTAAGCGTGCGGGTGGTTTAAAAGTGCTTAGTCTAGTGATGAGTGACTAAAATCAAACACTATGGCTAGACAATTGGCCCGATGACATAAAAAATATTTGTATATTTTGAAGTGTGTGGTAACCTTTATCTCGTACGTGCGATTTTGCATTTCGATAAGGCGATGGTGACTTGCGATCAGACAGGAATACATGAGTATTATGTATATTATCAATAAGTGGGCCAGTACTTGAGTAACTAGAGTATAATTAACATTAATAACCCCTCTAAATTTAGTACCCGGACTCATGTCCGTTTCTGGGAATGGTTAACGTGAGTGCGAGCGCATATACAAGAGCCCCTGAATGGTAATCCTTTTTCACTTTTACTTCAAAAACCCCCCGACATCATCGAGCAAATGAATGGATGTCGATAAGGCTGATTAGATCGCTTGGCTAAAGATACTGCGAACGTGAACGTGCAACGGCCCACTCAATAATATTGTATAATCCTTTGAGTCAAATGCATTAGAATGAGGTACCCAAAATGTTTTGCTGATAACCCGATAGCAAACAAATAGTCTGCCAGTCTAGTGAGAGTGACAAAGCCACTCCGAAGACAATAAAAACCTCAGTCGCATATGGTTCGTTGTAATAGCTAATACACAAGCGTTAATATACAGGAAACCAACTGAAAGAATTGTCCTTATGAAGGACATACAAAAAATTGAAAAATAAATATTTATATAAAATGTACAAATCCTTAAAAAGGATATTTTTAATTTAAAAAGTAACTGTTTGGAAAGCCTACAATAACAATTATTTAGGAAATTAAATATTACAGTTTTTGTGAAATTGCGATTTCAATGCAATTAATATTACAATTTTGATGAAATAAGTATAAAATAGTGCCACCATGAGTGATGAAAAATCCAAGCCCACCTCTGTGCTGCAGCACATTGAATCGGCGCTATATGTGATCAACCAGCTGTGCATAGGATTTGTGACCATTTGGGTTAGTTGGACCTGTTTGCGCCAGGGTCTTTCGGGAATTCGTATCCATGCCTGGCTGGTGACCTTTGGATTTGTCTTCCTGATGGCCGAAGGCATGATGTGCTTCTACGATGGCAGTTGGCTAACACTCCGATATTCCCGGAAATACAAGACTGCCTTCCATGTGGTTCTTCAGATCCTGGGAGGCGGTATGGGCGTGGCAGGCTGTCTGATCCAGTTAATACGTGATGATTGGTCCATTAGTGTCACATTACATGCCCGCTTGGGTTTTGCCGCTTTCGTCCTGTGCCTTATTTCATTACTGAGCGGTTTGGCCGCCTTCTTGGCGAGATCCCTCAGCCGAACCATCTCGCCGCTGATCAACAAGACCTTCCATGTGGTTCTCAGCTTTGCGGCATTCGTAATCGCCATGATGGCTCAGTTCTATGGATACACGCAAACTGGAATTTTCAGGGGTCAAGGAGAGGACTTCGTCATCCTCATGCAGGTCGTCACTATGGTCCTAATGGTCATAACCAGCATTGGAGCTATGAAATCGCTCTACCAGAAATTCGGCAGCTTGGCAAGTTAAGAACGGCTGTCGTGAATCCTACATCCTGTACATACTGTATACTAATTTAAGATAGACAATTTATATATTTATGGCTTAAATTAATGTTAATCTATAAACATTTTATACCAAACATGTGTTTCATAACTTTAGTTGGTAAAACTATTATTAAGAAAAATTATAATTCCTAAAAAAGGATATTTTTAATTTTAAAAGTAACTGTTCGGAAAACTTACAATAACAATTATTTAAGAAATTAAATATTACAGTTTTTGTGAAATTACGATTGCAATTACTTAGGAAATAAAAATTACAATTTTGATGAAATGAAATGACTACGAAAATAAGAAATAAAAATTACAATTTTGGTGAAATGAAATGACTACGAAAATACTACAATCTACATAAATAAAATCCTGTTAGTTTAAGAACTTTAAGAATAAATAAATCTAAAATGTATACCATATTTTCAGTGAAATAATTTAAGGGTATATAATAAAATAATAATAAACAATAAAAAATTAACAAATCGCTGGTTGAGAAGGGATTTAACTTGAAAATACAATTCCTGGCTAGCCCCTAAGTAGCTAAATATGTTTATTTATGGGCTAATACAATGGGAAAGTACAATCTACTTGTTCTTTGTAAAAATATTTGAGTTTCTCAGGGGTTAATTCGATTAAAAGTGTTTAGTTGCACATGTGACTCCAAAAGAAAAAGATAAAACATGAAGAAAAATGCCTGTTAGGTATGCAACGCATTTTAGAACAAAGTGCCTAGAGTAATACTACGCTTGGTTTTGAGCTTTTATGGATAAAAACTTTAACTGAAAATATACTTTATAGGGTTGCGGATGTCCTATTTACTGCGCTTTAAACAGCTGACCAAAATTATAATACCCTTTGCAACGGTATACGAATTCCATGCACAATTTAAATACTAGAATCTCCATAGCAACAGATATATTTAAAACATTTCGTGTCGCACGTGTGGAAATATAGGGTTTTTAGTCAGAAAGTCACACTATCATGAACCAAATAACAAAACTGCACTATAGCCGAATGTTTCTCACTTGCATGTGCCGAAGAGCCTTATCCCCAGTAAGCCAATAATCTGTATGATGCTGTATTCTCCCTTCAAACAAATTCAGAATCAGTCCAAGTCAAACCCTAATTGTCTGCTTAATTTTTATGCCTTAATCGCGATACATCTTTGTGGATCCCCTGCGTACTCTCACTGTGTTTTTTGGTCTTCCATAAACAGCACCTTATTCGAAACCCAAGATAAATAAGACGTTATGCTTGAGTATGTAATAGAACGTCAGCAACATCTAGGTAATCACTTTGGTGGTAAAATATATGCAATAAGGACTTTTGTGAAATGTAGACAGAATGGTATAAAAGAAACTTTGAACATCATTAAAGCTTCATTGATGTGGAAGACAGAGCCTTTGGAGAAACCCATACCGCCAAATTTCGAGCAGATTGTCTCCAGGTATTTTTACTTTGACGGCAATATCAAGGAAGATTGGCTCACAGCTGCCGAAAAATGTCGCGGTATGGGAGGACAGCTTGTATCCTTTAAAGACGAAATTGAGCATCACGCTTTTGAGGGAAAGATCTATGCTAATATCTTCTACTGTACCGAAATTAACCGTCTAGCCGATCCAGGATCGACTGTCTCATTGGCCTCGGGCAATCACGTTACATCCTTGGATTTCAATAAAGATGAACCCGATATTAAACATAATTAATGCCTTTCAATATCGACTACCGTTTCTTGTTTTAAAAATTGTAATGAACTTTTCCATTTTATTTGCCAAGCTGATAATGTTAAGTAGAAACAAGAACAAAAATTCTATTTGAAGTAAAAGTACAAATTTTAGAGACATTTTTCAAAAAAATATTTTAATTTTGCAAAATTAATTGAATAATTTGTTCAACATATCTCAACAATTAAATGAAAATGTTAAAATTCATTTCGAATAAACAACCTTAGCAATCGCATGAACCTCTAACAAAAAATTTTTCTGATGTACACTTTTTTGCCGGAAACCAATCAATTGTTCGTCTAAGTAATTACACTTTAATATTATTCTTGACGCTTTTATTACACAGGCATTTTAATATAATTTAAGTGATTCAAATCGCAAAATTTGGTAGATATATACATATGTACAATTGTCTAATACTTAGTGGCAATCTTTCTTAATAACCATAAATTTGAATATAAAGTTGAATATTGTGCATTCGATTTAATAAAGCTATACTGCCAGCACTGGTGCATCCAGAAATTAGGTTCGTTTAGTGTTGATAAAGGCAAATTGATCGACAGAAATAATTGCGCGCTATCGAAAATTTAAAAAAGGGCACACGACTGAAGGTCTATATTTGCGGTTTTGCCTGCACTTTAATAGCTTCCCGAAGAGAAAACCGATATGAATAGGAATAAAAACAAGATTGTGGTCAAGTTTAGAGTAATCGTGGAAATGACGGTGCAGAAAAGGCTTCGGCAGTTACTCATAAACCGTCGAGCAAATGGTTTGACTAACAAAGTTCAACAGGCGTATCGGTCGAACATTAAACATTTAATAGCTATATCGTATTTGGTGCACACGTCTGGTTTTTCCCAATAATAAAAAATTAGCGGTAATTTGTCTGTGAAAAGTGGCAGGCAGTATTATCAGTCGACAATTGTATAAATGTTAACACGAAAATAACATTATTTCAACGCACTGATAAAGACTAGCGGGCGTAGAAACTGGAAAACGGAAACTACTATGTCCGAGAATCAGCAGCCTGTGGTTAGTAGAGCCCAGCCAGTCGTCGACTACGGCAGTACGATCCGCACGGAATCGCAGCGCCGACCCACATTTATTCCGTTCGAATCTCCGCGACGCTATTCGAAAATGGGACACAATTCGCTATCCGGCCATGAGGGTCAGGATCGCTTGCAGCGATTGGAATACTTTCTGAATGTTCTAAATCAGATGTGCATTGGATTTATCACCATCTATATGACCTACATAACCACGCGAACTGGATTATCTGGTACCAGTCTGCATGCCTGGCTGGTGACCATTGGGGTAAATAGTTTTGTGATGTTATAACCTCCTAAACGGATAATCTAATTTCCGTTCTATTTCACAGTTCTCCTTCTTTATGGCCGAGGGAGTTATGATCCATTACGGTGGAAATGTCTTGACAAACGGATATAAACGCCAAACGAAGACCACAATACATTGGATAGTCCTGACATTAGGAGGCGGTTGTGGTGCAGCTGGAGCTCTTATCAAAATGATACAGAAGGGGTTTTTGTTTCAAACCACACATGGCAAGCTGGGTGAGTAAAAACAAATAGATGATGCTTATTATACAGCAGCAGATGCTAGTTCCAGAGAAAGAATGTACAAGTTTAGAAACTTTTGGATAAAATGCAAAAGATTAGTATTTTACTTGTAAATATTAACGGTTCCCTTAATAACCATTGCAATATTATTATTGTGCAGAATACGAGGTTTTTTTTTGCTTTTACTGGCAAAACGTGTCAACATACTCAGTTTAATAATTGAAATAGTCACGAAACTATTGTTTTTAGTTACAACTCTACTCAAATCGGCATTATTTATAAGAGCACAATAAAAACACAGACTTATACATTCCCTATTAACCAACAGGATTGACCGCTTTCATACTATGCATTCTGGCCATGACCTCCGGCTTGGCTGCACTTTTCTCCCCGCGTGTGAAGAAACTAATCACACCCTTACTGAACAAGACATTCCACAATTTCCTGGGATTCGCCTGCTTTGTGATCGCACTGGTAACCCAGTATTACGGCTACCAGACGGGATATTTCACGAGCCGCAGTGAGACAGATTTCCAAACCCTGATGAAGTGCATCACCCTCACATCGTTGGTTCTGACGAGCTATGGTCCCATAAAGGCACTCTATCAAAAGTGTAAAAGTATATCCCAGCAGTTTTAAGTAGGAGAAACAGACTTAGCCTTCGAGTGTACATAGATATGTAAATAAATAAATTAAAATCTTATACTCCTATTTTTTTTCCTTGCTCTGACCTATCTAACAATTTTGGGAATAGAGAACTAATGGCTAATCTTATCGTTCAATGATTTTTGAGTACTTCTAATTTATGGATCCCATAAACATGAGTAAATACTTCAACAATGCATCATTAGTGGACTGGGAAATCCCGGTGTAGTAACTAGAGGTCAGACATTCAAACACACGTTGTCATCATCGGGAAATAAAAAAAAACCCCATTTGATTGACAGCAGATAAAGTTTGTCAAAGTTATAGATCGACTATTGAATACACTCAGTCATTGCTTATCTGCGTATATCTAAGTTTATTAAAAGGTGATGCGCTAAAATGGGTTTTTTTAATATATGTCTGTAAGCCAAATCTAGATTAAGATAATAATAGTACAATTTTCCCCAATGGCTCATGCCTTAGACAATTGCCTCATGACTTGTTAATTTTCTATATTTTGATAATCATTCGAAATCAGAAACTAGGCAAGGTGTTTTATCTGTTTAATTTCTGACACATGGAGGTCGCATAATTGATAGCGAGTGTCCTAAATAAGTTTAAACTAGTGAAACCCTCCGAAAGCAAAAGCTATATTTCCGGTAGTTCAATTAAATAAATCTTGAATTTGCATGGTGCGGTTTCTTATGTTTATTTAGAAAATCCATATCATTTTTTCTTAAATCTCTCGCAATAAATAATACTTGGCGCGTGTTTCGCGTTGTGTTTGTGATACGCATATCAGTTAGCAATAATAATAAATAGCTAGCGTAAGGTTTTAAAAAATTCATAGTCAATTGGGGTAATACAAGGCGGGCTGGCTTATTTAAACCAGTTTTCTGTGTGCAATCTTTCGGTAAAAGAAAGTGAAGATCTCTAGATAGGTTTGAGTGGACAGTTCGTTCTTGAGTATACATTTAGCATTCAGTAAATAGGTATTATCAACTATCGACTAAAGCCCAATGAAGTTTGTGTTGGGCAAGGCATATTCGATTTTTTTCGGCTCCCTGTATTTCGCTCTCCTCACAGCTTAGTGCTGCGTCGAATGGCAAAGGACATCAACGCGTGCTCCAGCCGCATGTGATAGGGAAGCTTGCGCTCCAGTATGACCGGCTCATCGTCATCCGCACAGCACTGATTCCGGCAACACTCGCACTGCCCGTCATCATCATCGTATTCCTGCTGCAGTTCCTGCTTCAACTCGTAGGCCTTTTTGTTAGCCCGCTGTTCGAAGCGCAGATAGAAGGCCAGACAGACGAACAGCATAAAGACCAGAGCACACATGGCACCACTTGCAATGCTCGCCTTCTCCAACATTGGACGCGGTCTCCTGGGCAGGTAAGTACTGTCGATCTCCTTGTACTCGCACCGCTGTCCCATAAAACCAATGGCGCACTCGCAGCTATAAAGCGGATCTTCGCCAACCTTGATAGCAAAGCAATGGGCATCGTTCAGGCAGTAAAAGGCATCATAGTTCTCCGGACATTTGTAAATGGGGAATGTAATATTCGGCCTGGGCGTGGTCGTCGTGGTGGGGCGCATTGTGGTGCTACTTGTCGCCTGGGTGGGCGGCAATGCTGTGCCGGACATCGATGATGAGACCGAGGAGCGCGGCTTGGGCACCGTACGGCTGGAGCAGGCCTCGATGTAAGTCAGATATGCCAGGCTACCGATCAACAGCAGGGCTGGGATGGCCATCCCATGTTGTCCACTCATTTTGGAATGCATTACAATTTTGTAGCAGTTGACTTTTGGATATCTACTCCTCTCGTTTTTGGTTTGCAACGTTTGGTTGTTTAAAAGCTTAAAAATGCTAAAACTAGTAACTATCACAATAATAAATTATAAATATTCGTTGTCCGCTGCAAGGGCGTCGTCAGATCTCTTTGGAATTCGTTTTCTCTACATATGTATGCTGCTGGTGGAACGTAAACGTTGAGTTAGAGTAGATGTGTGTATCTGTGAGAAAGATAAAACAGCATTAGAGGCAAGTAATATCTCAGTTCTATCTCAAGGGTATTAAACTCTAAAACTGTGTACTCAACAAAAAGGGGGGAAAATCAAACTGCATTAAATTATAAATATACATATAAAAGTATTATATAGAAAAATCAGTGTAATTATGAACCATTATGTTACAATCAGCAAATTTTACATGGATTTCCGAATTTCGTTTTTATTGTTATTTTGCACAACCAATTCACTTTTTGTTTTCAAATTCCGTTTATGTTGTTTCCCGTTGATTATCCTAGCTCATCAAAGCTGGCTGTGATATGCGTTGGGTATCCATATCACAACCACTTGATGAGGCTTAGATAATCAACATCGTTCGGATGAAGTATCGTTTTGGTAAATATTTATGAATGCGGGTTAGTAAGAATATAGCACCGGATGTGTGCAGTCAATTCAATAGAGCCCTAGTTCACAGATGGACATCCAGTTGAGCCATTTTTCGGTGTGGTGGCATGCATCATTTCTCCTCCGTCCTTTCAAATTTTGATCTCCGTATGTCGCCCCTTTTTTATTCCGATTGCACTATAAATATAGATCTTAGGTGGACGACAACATGTTTTATGACAAATATGTTTTTGGGCGGATGAATTATGTGGCGGGGGGAAGTATTATCATGATTGGATGTACGATACATTACGCTAAGCTCATCAAAGCTGGCTGTGATATGCCCGGGCAATGCGGAAATGCATTTCACAACCACTTTGAGAGCCCAGCATGAATGCGCCAATATAGCTTGCTTATTGATTGAGGTTTTAGGATATTTGACTGCGGGATTTAAGAATTTTCAATTTCGACTTTTATGCTCATGTGATGATATCATGATATTAGGTGGTCAACAAAGTCTTGCGGTATTTTCACTAGGTATCGCTGCAAGCGCGTAGTTTTATTCGTCGCATCGGGTCATGCTTTACCTTTTTGGAAAGCTCTTTTCACGCGCTAGCACTTGTTTGATTGATAGATGGTTTCCTTTTAGTCGAAACATGGGGCAAAATAAAGGCCACAAGAAAGTCCTGTGAAAGCGAGCTTCTATAAGAGGGGCATTATGAAGTTGGAATCTCGTTAGAAACGCGTCATCGAACAAAACGACGCTTATTTAACTTGATTCGCATTATTGTAATTTATTTTATGAACAATTGAAAATTGAATAAAAATACCGCGGGACTTTTTGACAACCTAATATAAACAAAATTATGCACTTGTTTGAAACCGTTTTTTTTTTCTTTAAGTAATAATTTCACACATTTTACTTTGTGTATAATTTAAAAATTTTTCTTTGTTTATTTTAATATTTGTACTTATTTATCAGATGATTTTTTTTTATAATTTCTTTTGTAATTTTTTGTCTTGAGCATCGCGTCGCTCCTCAAAGCTGGCTGTGATATGAATAGGCATAAAAAGGCAAACATTTCACAACCACTTTGAAGAATGACACAATTCTCCTGCTTCGATTCGATGAGAGAGCCGAGATTCAGATTCGAATTGAGACTCGTCTTCTTTCTCGAGTCTTTTTTCAACGTTCTCACGGCCACGGGCTTTGAGTCTGGAGTCTTTTTTTTTTTTTCCAGCCACGGCACAATAAACAAATATGAAAAAAAATACGAAAATAAATGCGACAACGACTACAACAACACGATGATAATGATGATCATGACGACGATGAGATGATGATGATGAGGCTGGCGATAATACACAAATATGAATTGACATGAATGACGACAGGGCGCGAGTGAATGGAGCAATTTTCGTACATTTCTATGCGATAATAATAAAAATCAACAGGCATACCACACAACATCGAAGAACAACACATCAATTTGGCGACACGGGCAAAAAGCAATGCACCCTAAATTATTATTATAAGAATGTAAACATCAATTTGGCGCCAGCCTTTGGCAATTTGACGCCAAATTTGTTTTTATTTTTCCAGAGTTCAAGTTCTGGAATTCGAATTGATAAGGAAATGCACACGAAAAAACAAAACGGAAAAGGATCAAATCTAGCAGGAGAATAAAATAAACTTTGAAATTGTAATGCCCTGCGGGATCATAAATAAAACTACAATTTTTTAAAACCCTTAATGAGCATTTCAGATTGATAAGATTTAAGATTTTAGAAAATGTATCCAAAGATATATTTTAAAATTTTTTTTCAAAGTTTAAATTTTTTAAACTTTTTGTCAAGGTTGAATTAATTATTTATACCTTCTACTCAAAAACACAAAAACTGAGAAAAAAAATGTTCACTAATACAGGTTACACCTTTGGTTTTTTTTTAGTTCAACATTCCGAGCGCCCACTGTGAAACAGCAAACGAACAGTTATTGGATGGGTGTGGGGACTTATTTATGTATGTATTAGAATGCTTTTACTGTTAAAAATTGCTGCACTCTCTGTCCTTCTCTTTCGTGCTCAATGTCCGCAGCGGGCAGCTTATTAAAATTTCCGTTATAAAAATTAAATCCGCCGCCGCTCTTATGTACACGAATACATGGGACATGTGTTTGTGTGCGAGAGGAAGTGGAAGTAAGGTAATGTGCGCAAAATTCAAGTTGAATAGCCATATAAAATGCTCTGAACTTGTGAGCGTGTAGGTCAAGATCAGTGGCGGTACTTTATAAAATGTTTTTTCTTTCCTTTCCTTTTTGTTTTTTTTCTTTTTTTGCCAAAAGCAATTGAAGCGAGTTCGATGATCTTTTAGTGAATATAAATGATGGGGAAATGAGCCAACAAACACAATAACAACAGCAACATACAAGAACCACAATAATTACAGCAACAACAACAACGACAACAGTAAAATTCAACTACATTAGTGTGGGGACAACAAAAAGTGTGCATACATACATGACAACAACAACACCCGCTAATAAAAAATACTGTTGTGGCTGCTTCTTCTTCTGCGTCTTTTACAACTTCTTCGGCAAGCCAGTTGCTGTTGTTGCTGTAATTTTCATGTTGCCTTGCTCTCTTTCATTCTTGGGCGTCGCTGCACGAGTTCGTTGGCTCTTCTCGTTTCTGTATGTGTGTGTGTTTAGAAAACTGTAAGAAAAGCAGAGTGTGTGAAAAATATGGTTAAGTAAAACAACAAATTCCAATACAGGAACAACACAGCTCGCTCTCTTTTCTCAGCTTGCAATTTCAAAAAGAAAAAGAAAAGAAGAATGTACCGGTTTTTATGTTTTTGCAAAAAAGCTCAAAAAACAAGTCCTACAAGTTTTATATTATGAGCGAGAGATGAGAGTGGCAGCAGGGAGAGCAAGAAGGCGTGAGCGCGAGAGGAGGGCACATTTAGCGAAGACAGCAACCATTTGAGGTGTGTTGCGTATACACTCCAGCTCTCGCTCTCTTTTTCTCTTTTCCGTCTCGCTCTTACTCCATGCCTTTCACGGGAATAAATTATGTATGTATGTACTAAAGGTGTGTGTGTGCGCGGGAATGTTGTGAGGAATTCTAAGAATTTTGCACAAGCGACAAACGAAACGGGGCGCGGACCATATTCAAAAACCAAACAAAAAAAAAATGCTTCAAGAATATAGAAATAAAATACTTTGCGACGCTATGCGAGAAGCGTTAATAGCCAAAAACGAAATATATCACACCAACACAAGCACAGTCGAAGCAGAAAAGACGCAGAAGATGGGGAAAACGTGTAGGTGTTAAAAAAACTCTTTTTTCATTTATAATAACCAAGCGGATTTAACCACTATTCACTTAAACACCGAATAATTAAGCTTTCTTTTCACAAAATTAACAACTGTTTACATTTAAATTTGTACAAGTTTTGTGCAAAAGACCGACGAAAATCGCCGCGCACATGAAGAGACACAACCGCACCGCAAAAGATTCGAAAACCGAATGCCGAACAACAACAAAATTGGTTCTAAAGATGGACGTATTTTTGCTGCCAAAGAGCGGCAGAGCAGCTCTCTCTGTCCCTGGCTCTCTCCGACGAGAGAACGAGAGCATTGTCTCTCCACTAAAAATGCGGCATAATAACAACAATGCGGCGAGCGGTTTAGAGCTCATGTTGTATGTAGTTTCGTACCCGTTACTCGAGAAATTAATAGGGTATATTAAGTGTTGGAAAATAAATTCGTACAATGGATTGTTTTAATTAATGCTCTAATTTCTATGTTTATATATACGCAGCAAAAATACTATTTTTTTAAGATTCTTTTTTAAGTTTTGGAAAACAATACTTCGGATTGTTTTAATAAATTTTCTAATTTCTAATTTTATAATTACGCAGCAAATATACTTTTTATTAAGATTCTTTTTTGGTCTATAAACAAAAAAAAACACAAATTAATTTTAAAAAATCCTACACCTTTAGTGTAATTAAAAAATATCAATAATAAAATATCCTTTCAACATTTTTTTGAAAATATTTTTAAATGATCAAGGTCAAATAACATTTTCACTGCATGCATTTCATATACAAAACTATCCTTGTCGAGAACTGGTATTTAAAAATTTATCCCTGTCGAGACTGGAATTTTAAAAGTAACCAAATTTCCAAAGAACTCCCGATAATAAAGGGTATCTCACATTTGCATCATTTCGTCAACATGTTTCTTGTTTTGTTTTTTGTTTGTTTTGGTGTTGCCAGAAGATTTCGCACAATGTAGGATCAACATGTTATTGACACGACGCCGCCGACGCCGCCAGTTTCAGTTTGGCGGAGCGAAAAGCACACAAACAAGAAGCGACGCAGAGCGGCGGTGCAAAAACCGCCGAGAGCCAGCGGACGGGGGCGGGGTGCGGGCGCAAGGGCGGGGCAGGTAGCCGGCCAAACGGGACGAACAGGATGAAACCCAGACGAGTTCAAACCAACTGCAGATTTCATGGAACTGGCCGAAGGTTGAGGATGCGCAGGCGCGCAAGTAAACAACATTCCATTCCTCGGGAAATTTCTTTCTTGTCGCTCGAGAAGCGCGCCAAAAAAAGCCCCGCTAAAGTTGGTCGGCCGACGTCGTTGCCAGACCATTGCGAAATTTGATTTTGAGCAATTTAACGCCCCCTTAAAATCTTACACAGACTGCAGTGGGAAACAAAATTGAATTCTTTTTATAAAAACTTGTTCAATTTTTGTCAAAAATTTGTTCTTGATCTTATGAAAAATATGTAAAAAATATTTTTCTAAACATTCTAGCAAAGGAATGTTACTCTCTAGATCTTTAAAATATCATCTGAAAGACAAACATAAATCTTATCCAATTTTGCATAAGAATATTATTTTATACAGACAACAATTCCAAGAATCAGTTATTTTAATCGAGCGACCGAAATCCTGACAGCTTCGAACAGTTTTGCATAGAATTTTGGTTATTTTGCTAAGAAGTCACATATTTCCGTTCCGAATTCTTTCGTTGGAGATGAAGTGATTCGATTTATGGAAGTTCGGCTGCATACATACATACATACATATGTATGCATATAGAAGCAGAACAACTATTCGTTTCCGGTGGGTAGTCGGTCCGTAATGTGGGACGCCGACACCATTCCAAAGCCAATTGACGTCACAAGCGACCCAACAAACAGCAACAACCTGGCACAACGTTTTCTGGGTTACAACAGCTCACGGATGTCGGAATGCATCAAAAAACGAGAAAGAAACCAAGAGTCACCGAATGGCAGGTTGGCTCAGGAGAGATTTGGTCAATCAATCGACTTGATTCTACACGACACAGTGGGACTCGAATGTCACAGGTCCAACTGTACAATACCCAGAAGATGATGATGACGACGATGATGGGGGATGGGATCAGATCGGATGGGATGGGGCGAAATGTTAATGGATTGCCCTAGGACCTGCCCTCATTCCGTTTGCCATCTTTGTCGCTTCTCTGCTGCACTTGTGCATTCCCCCCATGAAGTTGTGTGCTTCTTTGCCACCACCTTCTTGCCCCTTTTTGCGGTGTTCTGTTCCTTTTGTTGATGTTACAATTGTTGCACTTGTTGTGTGCGGTTTAGGACATTGAACCACAGCCAACAGAAATGCAGAACTGCACGCAACTGAATGGCAAGTGTACAGCTGTGGTCAAAGAATTAGCAATGCATTATGTGGGGTTTCCCTAGTTCAATATTCTGAAAGCTTTGTTCAAGTAACATTTCCATTTCTATAGTATATTTGCAAATTACAAAGTATCTCTTCTTTCTGAATTTAAAATAACCTTAGTAAATATTTAGATGTTAAACTTCATCGCTTAATGGTTTTGTAAATAAATGTATTTACATTATACATTTATATTGATTTGAACTTTTGTTTCTAAAAAATTAAAAAAAATAACAGAAAGATAAAGATATTGTATCAATTTGATATTTCTCTCAGTGCATTTTAGTGAATTGCTAATATCTTGAACGCCAACGTTGTTGTATACATTTGTATGCTCATTTGGAAAACCGATTCCAAGGCAGTTTTACTAAAAATCGATAAACAACATTACTGTCATATGTATGTATTGTACATTATACATCAGTTTGTAGGCATGTCTGGCTAAAATGATGACGATAAAAGGTCATGACGAAGAATTTTTCGCCAATTGCCTGGTGGGTCGCACAGTCTGGGTCGCGAGACGTCTGACTAGACAACATGCAAATAGTAACGGTAATCATTAGACACACACATTCGCGCATTCGCATTTTATTTGCATGTACACTCTCTCTTTTGCTCTCTCGCCTCGCCCGCTCTCTCTCTCTTCCTCACACCATTTTCTATGCTGAGTTGAGTTCGACGGCCTTCTTACGTAAAATCAACAACAACGCTCTGCGGTATTTCTCTTCTAATAAGCGGGCGCTTGGTAGCGGGGGGGATTGGGGGGATATGCACTCGGCGACAGTGTTGCCAGACATCAAACTCGTTTTCACTGTTTTGACTCCATACACACATGTGCATTCGAATGTGAGTGAGTGTCTTTGCAACTGTACAAGAACAATAAGTACATAAGTATGTATGAAACACGGGCAGCATAAAAGCAACAACAAACGGCGCAGACGCCAACCAAACCGCTCCCCCTCCCCCTTCACCCGCTCTTCCAATGTTTGTCTGTCTGTCTGGAACGTCTCTTTATGTATGCTTTAGGTGTATGTATGTATGCACGTGTATGTTTGTGAGCAATTTTTATTTTTCTGAATGTAAAGGAAGTGGCACGTACTGTACTACTCACCGCTGCCGCTACCGACAACAACAACAACAAGACCAGTGACAGCCGGATCAGGCTGGGAATTCGAATTTGGAAATGGAATGAGAGCGTGTTCCGATTCCGCGTCGTTCCCCGTTCCGCTTGTTGTTGTATCTATAACTCCTTGTAATATTTGCGTTACATCCACAAGCAGCTGCACTTCTTAACGCTCGAAAACTTGGCTTTAACACACTAGGTTCATGGATCTATTTCAGTTTCGTGGGGCCCACACTTACTCTAATTTAGATGCTGCAAATTAACTATTTTCCTGCGTTTTAAAAGTCAGTAAAAAAAAGGGAGATGCAAGATCTGCTCTCTGCTCTCCGAAAACGTGGGAATACTGAAAAATACCAAAACACCATCTCTTCGCGGTGATGTGGCAGCGGTCAGAGGCACAGTGGTTGCGAAAAGTGAAATGCAACGAAACCGAAATTCGTTGATGATCGTGGGCAGAAGATACGGAGCGAAGAGCGAAAGTAGACGGAAATCCGTTTGCGAGGGTGAACAAATTAGTTTTACAGTGCTTCTTCAAAACAGTGTTACAAATAATTTAAAAAAACTATAACTATTAAAACTACTCAATTAAAATTGTTGTTTATCGTATAAGAAAATGAGTATGTATTGTATAGAACGATTCTAATTAAGACTTAAAGTTTAAAAGACTAAAATATCAGGCCTAAGAACAAGTCATGTATTATTAAGTAAATTTTAGTTTTTGGGAGTTTATATGGATGTCATTACGTTTCGATATTGTAATGACCTTTAATTATTAATTTGACCAAATTAAATATTCATTTTGAAGCCAAGTTTGAAATAAAAGAACTATCGAATTAAAAAGCATTTTTAAGATCAATCAGTAGAGATCGATCCATTGTGCAGCTTCTATGAGAAGAGCGGAGAAAAGAGAGCCGGCTGGTTTGGGTCTCCGCTGTGCGGCAGACAGACAAGACGCCATGCGTTTGGAAGAGCCTGGAAGGAGAAGGCGGAGGGAGGGGGGCTGTGCCGCAATATTATAAACAGGAAATGGAATTTACCCACACGGATGCAGCGGCCGAGTGCGTCTGTATGAATTGGTGATGAGCCGACAAACGGACGCGGTGCCTAATTGACAAATGAGCACGGGAGAAAGGGAGAGAGCATAGCACACCGCCGAAAGAGCGAAAAAGAGCGGACGAGAACGCGCTTACAAAGTTGATTGAAATCAATAGTGTGCGAAAGCCCCCATAGACAAGTGTATCGGTGTGAGTGTGTGTGCTAAGACCGCTCGTGGAATGTGTGAAAAACGCGGCCAATGACGGCAATCAAACGACGGGAAGAGCAAGAATGTTGAACTCTGGAATGCGGCTGGAAATGGGAAGAAGTTTCTGTAAATAGAAATGGAAGTAAATGCTGGGGGAGAAGGAAGCGGGGTTGAGTCTTTTGCACCTGCCACGCCCAGCTGCCCCTGGAAACTATTAACATGTTGCACAATTGCAACGAGTCCAATGAATGTGCATACATATGTACATACGTACATATCCTACGCAAACCGAGGTGCAATTGCAGATGGCGACGAATATAGCGTGTGTAGTTTTTTTCTCGGAATTGAGCAATGAATGAAATTCGGTTGTTTTCAGCGTGTACTCACACACACACATACACACCCACACTCTTGCGATTTGGAGCAAGAGAGAAAGTCTGCACGACATGCGCTCTGTCGTTTGTGTATATACAATTTGTTTACTTTTTGCGCTACAATTGGCAAATAAACCAATAGCGCAATTTTTTAAAGCATTTCAGCGTACTAACCTACATTGATGGTCAGCCCACCACAAACGATTAATTTTTCATGTTCAGCCTTACAAAATTAAACAATCAAAAAAAATGTCGGCAAAAAAGGCAAGGCGCAACTGTATTGTGCGCCAGTGTGTGTGAAAAGGAGACGGCCATAGTAAAAAAAAAAAAACACATACACACAGGAGAATTTACTGCTGCTTGCGGCGCCCACACACACATACACAAACACGCCTATTTAGTACAGCTACTGCGTAAATTAAATAAAATTAGTTTTCTGGAGTACAAAAAAACTATGTTTCCTGTCTTCACTTCCCATTTAATTCACCGCAAGTACACAGTCACTAATTTTTAACTCACACACATACGCGCACATAATTTGGCAACGCTTTTATGATTCATTTTGCAGACTTTTCAGTTTATCCTTGGAAACTTACTTTTGGGTTTTTAGCTTCGTTCGTTGCACTTTTCTGGCCGGTTTTCATGCCATTTTCTTTCTGGAAAATTAAAAACGTACAAATCGCTATGTCGCGTCTTAAAATGGAAGTGTTGCCAGATCTCGTGGAAGGGCTGGAGGTGACACTATCGCGTAAGAGCGAACACAAGTGTTGTAAAGCGTCCGATCAATAGCTATCGCATAATGTTAAATTTAAATTTTAACTATATTTACAGCTTTAGCTTAAACAAAAATTGCATTGGTTACTTCATTAAGAACCAGGCATTGCAAATAATCGTTATTAGCGGTTTTCTTTTGTGATTAACTATTTTTAATCAAATCGCTAAGTCATATTGCAAAAGGAAAACTTCCATAAACTCAGGGTGGCCATTTTTTTTATCATACCGTAAAACTATTAAAAAACAACCAAAAATAATAAACTATTTAAGTTTTACATGTGCTTTTACAAATTGTAAAGGTTTTTACTTTCCAATCAGGTACCCCCTGATAAAATGTTCATAATAGACGTCAACTAGTAACGAATGCCTGTTGTTAAACACTGCTAGATTTGGCTTGAAAATAGCTATTCGGCCGTTGCCAACACAGCTTCCAGTCCACCCTTCCAGTGGGCATTTGGTGATCTGGCAACCCCACGTGACGCCATTTCAAAACAAATGCGCGGCAACGAATTTTATTTCGCACCGAAGCATTGAGTGAAAAGTCGTGAAAGAAGACAGATAAACAAAATAAAATGGGAGCAAAGGTAACCAAAATGGAGGGTGAATATCTGCCGGATACGCCGACACTAAACAAAATGCGACTGGCCAGCGAAAAGCAGGAAAATGTGGAAATGACGACGCCAATTAGAGAGCAAAACAACGCTTTACTTGATCCTCGTTCACCAAATGGCTGTCGCACTCCCTTAAATGTGAGTTGTTAGGGATTTAAGATATTAATAGGTTGATAATGAATGGGGCGGCAGTTTTTGCAGAACGGATCGCAGGTGTCGCAGCCGCGTGCTGTGGAGCAGGAGGAGCAGCAGGTGGCCTCCAGTGAGAACGCCTTCACCGTGCTCCGAAAACGTTTGCTCAAGGGCTTCTCCCTCAACGATCCCCGCTCCCCGCAACTCAATCGCACTCCCCTGGTCCTCGACGAAGTGCGCTCCCTTAATTTGGACGACACCTTTGCCGATCTCTTTGTGGACACCAGAGTGGGTTCGGCTCAAGCTGCAGCAGTGCCCGCCACTCCTTCACCTCCCCAAGTCGACTTAGAGGAGAGTTGCGATAGCTTTGGCACGCCGCCATCTGCTCCCCACAACAACAGCTCCCTGGAGATCGTCTCGCTGTTCTACGACGAGGAGGAGACGCTTCCCTGCGAGGATCAGCTGCAGCAGCATCAGGAGAAGCTGGCCACGCCGCCTCCTGCACAGCAGCAGCTCCAGCACTGTGATCCTCGTTCACCCAGCCTGGGCGTCGATCGCACACCCATCATCTTCTGCGATGACGAGGACGAGGAGGCACGCGAGGCCCAGATGTTGGAGCATATTTTGGAAACCTTAACCCTGAATCTTAGCACTGGCAGCAGCATGGCCTCCTTTGCGGCTAACGAGGAGCAACCATCGGCCGTGCCGGCCAACAAGCATCTGGAGCGCGTGCGTTTGGGTCACAAGCGAAGGGTTCCACCACGCAAGCCGGCCAGGGCCAACAAGCCAAAGATTTACATTGACCAGGAGGAGGAGTCACCAGCGGGAGGTGGTGCCATCACACCCAAGACAAATAGTACACCGCTGTCCGCTCAGAAGCGCACACCACTCAGTTGTGTTAAGAATAAGCCGCATTTCCGTTCGCGCTCCGTGGAAAAGGATCTTAGAAAGACGCAGATTGCTCCGGTCCAGAACTTCAACGATCAATTGAGGCTAATCTCCGGCGGCGAGGGACTGAATGGACCCATTTACTAAACCAGTTTAGTAGTTAATATTGCCTTATGCCCACCTATAACCCACCAAATCATTATGCATTTTCACAAACTCATACATTTATTATTCATATTTTAATAAAAACATTTTATTAGTTTGCTTTGAAATAGTCTGTCTATATAAATGGATTGGTGAATGAAGTGTGCTTATAGGTACAAAGATTACAAGATTTGCAATTTTCACCTTTTGCTCATATTTTTCAATGAACTTTTATGATGGAATCCAATGAATTTATGAGCTTTTCACTTTTTATTACAGGTAAGAATTGAGTAAGTTACAAATCAATTTAATTCTCAACTACAGCATTATTTCTTGAGGTATCCTACCTAACTAGCAACAGTCCACCGACTTATAACTTGTATATTCATTGAAAAATACATTTTTGATTTGAATAAAACCTTCGCACGAACTCTATTTATTACTAAGAGTATTTTATACCAAAACTATTAAGTACAAACTTAATATTGCATTATCTACGCTTTGTGTGAGGACCATTTTCGGTTTGGCAGGGGCCGGAATACATGATATATCAAAAATACATAAGTGCAATAGCCTTGATGCGAGTAATAAGTTAAAGCTTTACTGATACTGTAGCTGCAGTTTGTCCAGCAGATGGTCAATGGCCTCCTGGTCGAGTTTCTCATCGTTGGCCAGCACAAAGTCAAAGCCATCGGCCAGATCATCCAGATCGCACTCCGAAGGAACGTCATCGATGCCCTTGGTGAAGCTCCAACCTCGGGCGCGTCTCGTCTCCGGGCGGGATGTCAGTCGCAGGGTGATGACCCTTTCCGATCCGTACGTTTCCCGGAACCACTTGATGTCGTTCTTGCGTCGTACATCGCTGACCAGGATGTAGGGCGTCGTCTGCTGGCGGCCCAGAGCCTCCTCCATGGCCACGCGACAGAAGTAGCCGTAGTCCCGGGCCCGCACCTCGTCACTCCACACGATCATGTCGCGGCGATACTTCTCCTTGTAGGGTCCATCGCTGAGCAGAGCACTTAGGTCCAGCTGCAGCTTACGGGCCCACTCCGACTTGATGGGCTCCGAGATTCGAACTATCCGCGAACGGGAGCCTAATCTGAAAAATAAAGGGTTTTATTATTGTTGTTTCTTTTTTTATGATGGATAAATTTAGAAAAAAATTTTTTAAATATTGTTTTTAAACTATTTAAATTTTTAAAAATTTTTTTAAGAAAGTTAAATTGGATTTGATCTGGTTTTGGTGTAATAAAACTTTTTAAGGTTGTGGGTCATATACAAAAAGGTTTTTTTTCCATGATTCAGGGCTTTAAAATAAGAAAAATATATGTTTACATTATAATTGAAAATAAACAATTATAATATTATATAATATAATTTCATAAGTTGATATAACACAAGAAATATTTTTTTTACGTAAATAGACCGCAACCTATGGTTTTGAACTCAATTGTATGGAAATTTTTGGCAACAAGCTTTATGAAAAAAGGGTAGATTTCCATAAATATGTCTGCATAGGGTAGGTACCTCTGCTGCAACCTCTCGGATACGTAATCCTTGCCGCACTTTCGCTTGCCACTGATCAGCACGATTTTCAACATATTTCTATTGGACTGGCCAACTTTCACTTTTGGTCGCGTGTTGTTTCCAATGCCGCTGCCTTCTGCTTCTGGCCTCGATTCTCTGAATTCTTCGTAGAGCTCATCAGATATGAGATGTAGTACTTGACCTGGCCAACGACTTGACTTCTGTGCTCCAGGTCTATTGTTTTTATGTTAATCTGCCATTCAACAATTGCATTGCGCTCGGAGTCTCATTTGTTTACCTTTTGTATTTCACTTTCGAAGCAGCCAGCTGGAGAGTTTATCGTTATCATAAGCATTCGATTGTCGGTCAATCGAGCGGGCTTTTTTAAAAACTGAGTTCTATTATAAGCTTGTAATAATCATAGTTTAATTCATCATATCAACAGTTACAAGTGATCTTAGAAAAGTTAAAAAATACAATTGGTAGGTATTTTAATTTTTGGGTAGTTCTAAGCCCGTAAAGTACTTTTAATCATTTTCTTCTTAACATACATGCTAGTTAGTTCACTTAATTTAAAGCCGTGCCTGCGTAAAAATCTGCTGCCCCTGTGGATTGTTGCGCCCCTTATCTGTAGTATTGCGATTGCTGCCAGTTGCTACTCGAGCCACCAGCTGACGTCTCTGCGGAGCCGGAGCCACCACCCTGGGCACCTGGACCACCAGCGGAATGGCTGGCATTTGCTCCAGTTGGCGGTCCGCCGGCTGCCACACCTCCTGACGCCCCTGAACCCGATCCCGATCCTGTGCCCGCACTGCCAAAGGAGGCGAGCACGCTGCTGTAGTAGGAGGCATCAGCCACCGACTCGGACTGATGGGGCGGACCCTTCTTGAGGCTGTGGTGCAGCGAGGCCTTGCCCTGATGACAGTCCTGGGCATTGGCATTGTTGATCCTGGCCAAATTGGCCAGCGTCAGCGTGGAGTGACCACCATGGATGGCATTTTGGGCAGCTGCGGATCCTGGCGGCGGTATGCTACCGATGCCTCCGACGCCGGTCAGTGGTCGTGACATGGGGCGGGCAATGGAGGCGGAAACGGACCCGGGGACAGACGACTCGGAGAGCTGCAAGGGGCAAGCGGTTTTTTATAGACAGGACAGCTTAGTTTAGGAGCCATAGGTACCACTCGCCTTGCGCTGCTTGTGCAACTCCAGGCCCAGACCGACGCCGCCCAGATCCGTCATTTTCGGCTGCTCCGCCATGGACGCCAGCTGTGGCAGTTGGTTCAACGGTGGTGGCTGCGGCGCCACATGTCTGTGATTGATGTGCGCCTGCAGGTCCCGCTGCGAGAGATAGGTTCGCCGGCAGCCGGAGCTTCCGTACCGACTGCCGCCGTGCGTGCACATAAACACGGTGCCCAGACCGCTCTGCTCCACACGGAGCACTTTGTCCGTGCAGCGGGGACAGCTCTTGATGGGCTCAGCGCGGGCGCACTTGAGGCAAAAGACGTGCTTGCAGGGTATCATCCGTCCGTAGACGAGAATCGGCTTGTCGCACTGATCGCAGCAGTGGATCATCGGGTTGAGTACCTTCTCGCCAATCAGGCTCACTTTGTGGTTCCATTTCAGGCGCAGCATGGGCTCGGGAGGTCCGCGAGAGAGTGTGGTAAAGGTGGGCGCCTCCAGCTGCGATATGTCCGCCTCCATGTCAACTGCAAAAGCGAGAGATTAGTTTAAAAGTACTCGAATCGATTGAGGCAAAGATAATGAAATTAATGAATAAAGGAATGAATAAATATCGGCTTGAATAATTATTGGTTTAGGTATCCTTGCTTTTTTTATTCAAAAGATTTAACCTGATGAATCTATATTTTTTAGGCTGAATAATGCATATGTAAGGCAGAATGTTTTGGATGTCTTACCCCATAAACATTACAAAATAACTATGAATATGTTAATTTTCTACTAGTTATTAAGACTTGTTGATGTTTCATATGATCATCAATTAGTCTACGCATCTTTGCCCATCTAATTCATTAGTGGAAACCTGATGAATCTTACTTGTTTGACTGAGCACTGGCGGAGGCACCTGCTGCAGGACCTGTGGCTGCGGCGTCGGTGGCGTCATCTCTTCGCCCACAGCAATGGTTCCTTGTGCGCCCTGCGGCAATGTGGGCTCCTCCAGGGCGTTGACCACCTCCATGTCGCCCTCCTTGTCCAGATCCTGCATTGCCGAATCCTCGGATGGCTCCAATCGCCCTGGACTGTCCTCCAGGGCTGCACAACTGCTGGCTGCCAGGGCTGCGGCTGCGGCGGCATCGGCGATACTGCTCTCGTCGATTTTCTTGCCACGACCGCGTCCACGGCCCCGGCCACGCCCACGCGCCCTGGTGCCTCGTCCACGACCGCGGCCTCGCTTTCCCTCCTCCGTGTCCATGGCTCACTCGTAATACCCTGGGTTTTTCAGGCGATTCTTAAGTTTTTCGGTTTTTGTTTAGCTCCGCATTTGCGCCCGGGCAGGGTTGTCAACACTTCTGTCCGGTAAGGTCTGCAGAGCTGCACGGTTTTGGGGTGACCATCCCGCTAGTAGCACTGCGAATATGGCAACGCTGCACAGTGGTACGATTGGCTACTCTAGCGACATTTAAAAAAAATCCCAAGATAAATGAAGAAATAATGGATACAAAATAATTAAACTTTAGTGTCAACGTCCAAAATACGTTTTACCAAAGTTTGATAGAAGTAGAAAATTTTTTTAATAATTAATTTAAAACCTAAAACGGAAGTTAATACAAAATTATCCAACTAAATTTGTATTTGTTTTTAATAAAAGATAAAAGTTTCAAACAAAATGTTTAAAGTACAAATAATTTATTAAAAAGAGTATAAAGTAACAGCTATAAATAAAAAGATTTTGGAATCCATTTTTGGTTTTGATTATTTATATAAATTGCGTTAGAAGAAAGTAAAATTAATGATCTAACAGTTACGAGTCGGGATCATCCACCTTGGGTGCGAGATAGTATCGAATGTAGCCATAATCCTCAATGGGGTACTCCACCAGCAGGGGAACCTCGGGGGCTAGACATATCTTCACGCGATCCGCCAGCGGAGTGGCCTTGGTGAAAGTGTTCAGGTAACGACCGGCGAAGGTCTGGGTTAATGGATCCTTAACCTCGATGGTCACGTCCATTTTGGTGCCCTCGCTCAATTGGATATTGGCCGAACCCAAATCTCCGTTGGCCGAGAACTTGATGCCCTGCTTGGAACAGGCGATCGTCAGGGATTCACTGAACATGCTCATGTCTCGGCAAATGCGGGCAAACTCCATCGAGGGCAACTGAACGACGCAGGAGTAGTCCGTGTCCGGGATTCCCAAGTGATCCTGGTCCAGATTCAGCAGCTTGAGTTCGTAATCCGCCGTCCGTTCCTTGCCATCCGATTCGAAGATGAGTTGAATTTTGTCCGGCTTGTCGATGGCTTTAATTGTGACCGTATCGTCGCTATTGGCGCACTTAAGCACCTTGGCCAGGGATTTGAGGTCCAATCCCAGGGAGACGTTTCGATCACAGCGGTACTTCACGAAACAATCCGATTGCAGACTTAGAACCACTAGTGACACATGCGAATTATCCATCGACTGGAGCTGGAATATTAATATGTTAAACTTTAATTATAATGATACAAATTTAGTTTCTAATAATATTTATAGTTCTTAGTTTGAAGAATGTTTGGTTAAAACATTTATACAAAACTGTGAATTCTAATTTAAAATGCTATAATATAAAATATATAAGAAGTTAGTAGTTTAAAACCGTCATAAGTTGATTACTAATTTTGGTTTTATTATTTTATATGGACTCCTATGGCTTTTATGGGAGTCCCCAGTAACGGAGTGATACTTAGCCGACTTCAAGCACACCTGTAAGCCAGAATCGCTGCAATCCAACGTTCCCTGGGCGATAATCTCTTTTAGGGCCTCAATTATCTTCTTTAGGAGCAAAGTCGGACTTAAGCGCGCCTCCAACATTTTTAAATTGTAACAATCGTTAAATTATCCCGTTAATTTCACAATCGTAAATAAACATTCTGAAGTTAGTCAGCTGTTGGGCTGTCGGAGAGAGTTGCCAGACTGACGGCAGAGCTTATTAGGGGGATTCCGAAAACGGAACTCTGTTTTTTTATTTTTAGTATGTGACTATTACATACATTGAATAACTGAATTAAATTAAATAATCCACATAATTGTTAAGAAATCGAGTCTTATGTTCAATATAATATCAAATAAATATCCATTTGTTTTTTATTTCCTGCCATTGATGATTAATCCAACAATTAAGGATGTATTTACTGTTTAAATAACAAAGCACCAAATCGTAGGTGATAAATATTTTTAATTTTTATGTAACAGTAATATTACATTCATGTAGTTTTAATTTCAAACCCCTAATTTAAACATTTTTTGAAATCACTGTTTATAGATCTGGCAGCTCCAGCAGTTCTGGGTCCAGTTCCAAGTGGAACCAATCCATTCGGTTCCAGTTCCACTTTGAGTCCAGCCGTCCAATATGTTTACGCTGCACGGGTATTTATTTATAACCAATTGCTGAGCTTTGCGATGGCCGCCGCCCAGTTGGAGGAGCATGCTCCACCCACGGATCTCCAACCGGATCGGAATTCCAGCAGCGACTGGCGGCTGTGGTGTCGCCTGTGCGCCAAGGACGACCTACAGGGCAACATGAATGTTTTCCTTAAGAACGAGGACTCCAGCGAGGCATCCTCCTTGGAACTGGCCACCGCCATTGGCAAGTACTTCTGGGTGAATGTGAGTGGACCCTAGAGCTCTTTACCCAGTCACCCATAGATTTATATTATGTTCCCCCTACCAGATAACTCGGGGTGAGGAACTGCCGGAGATGATTTGCAATGAGTGCCTATCGCTGGTGACGTCGCTGGTGAATTTCTCGGATCGGATCACCCGTGTGCAGAAGCTCTACTGCATACTCCAGAGCACATCCAGTCAGGAGACACCAAATCTCCAGGAGCTGCGCTCGAAGTTCGGCCTGCTGGACGATGAGACGCTGATGGAGGTACATTATGTGGACAAGAAGCCAAAGCTAGATGAACAGCTTGAATTCTTACCGGAGGAGTCGGCTTACGAGTTTGAGAACCCTCTAACTCCGGAGGAGAAGCAGGAAAAGAAGCAGGAGGATCAGCAGCAGGAACGGCCGGAGGAGGACTCAGAGCAGAAGGAAAGTGAGGATCAGGATCCAGACTACGAGGCGGATGAAGATGCTGTGCTGCTGAAGCTGTGCGATGCCTATGGCATCCAGGGGGAAAGCTCCTCTAGTGGCAGCTTGAGCGACTCCTCGCCAAGGCAAGAAAAGGCTGGGACAGGAGCCTCAGACTCGGCCAAACGACACCAGTGCAGCGAGTGTTTGAGAACCTACGCCACGGCCAGAACCCTGCAGCGTCACCAGCGGCAGGATCATGCCCAGACTGAACCCTCCTCAGAGCAACTGCAATGTCCGGATTGCCCTAAGAAGTTCCGCTTTCACTACCAGTTGGACCGCCACATCGAATTTCATGTTCCCCTGCGAAAGCGAAAGCAATATTCCTGCAATAACTGCGACAAAAAGTTCGCCACCAGTGCGTCCGCCCAGCAGCACGAGCAGTACATGCACCTGGATGAGCGACCGAGGCCGGTGATCTGCGAACAATGCGGCGTGGGTGTGCACTCGATGAGCGCCCTCAAGGAACACGTACTGAAGCACACGGACTATGCCCCCTTCGAGTGCGAGGTGTGCAAGAAGTGCTTCAAATCGGCAAATAGACTGAAGCATCACAAGGAGACGCACGATCCCCATAAGTACATCTGTCCTGAGTGCGGCATGCAGTTGAATTCGAGGACGACTCTGAATCGCCACCGGCTAGTGCACACGGATCAGATGCAACACAAATGCGACTATTGTGGCCGGGAATTCAAGCGGGCCAAGGCGCTGAAGAACCACCTCATCCTCCACACTGGGCTAAAACCGTACTCCTGTGACTTTTGCGATCGCACCTTCGCCAACGGCTCCAACTGCCGCACGCACAAGAAGAAGTCGCATCCCGAAGAGCTGGCCGCCCAGGAGGCGGCGGGAGGTGGAAGGTCCCATAACCGAAATATACCCAAGCTGGAAGCCCTCAAGGCATTGTGAGTTTACTCAATTAGGTAGTTTTATTACAAAAACTAAACCGTTTTGCCTTTTTCTTTGCAGCACCAAGAACAAGGATAACCTGTCGCCGGTGGCCACCAAACAAAGCGGCTGTTTTGCATTCGGTAAAAAGCCCAAGCCATCATCCATCAAGGATAATGTCAGTCTTACTCCAGCTTCGAATCCCGCGCCACCTCAAGATGCTCAGCCTGAACCGGCGTCCCAAACCGGAGAAGAAAACATAACCCAGCCTGATCCCCCAGCATCGACCATACCAACGATAGACAATATTTATAACCACATTATGATTGACTATCGCTGAGGGCTTATCTCAACCTTAAGTTTCATTGGCAATATGTAATAGAGCACGTTTTCCAAAACCAACAGGCACCGTTGCTTCAAAGCCACACGTTTTTATTTTCAAATTCTAATGTTATTTTAAAACCTGTTTTAATATAAAGATAAGTTGATTGTTTTAAAAACAAATTAAGCACAAATAGATGTGGCTTGCAAAAGATTACGTTCTATGTTAAACTGAGTTCCTTAAACATGGTTTTAATAAGGGCTTATTAAGAAGTTGCATCGGTGAGCGGGAAAATGGTATTTAAACGGTCCGGCGATTGGCGCATGTGCCATGTGGGGTCCGGAGTCTGAATCAAGTCACCCCCATTTAAATCCAATCCTGGTATAAAGGAATTTAGTTCAGTTGACAGCGTGCGCCTTCCTCGTGTCCTGCTCTTCATTTAAATTTGTTTAAATATTTTACTCACAAACCAGTGTATCAAACGGTTAAAGATGTGTGAAAAACCCTAGGATATTCTCCAAATTAAAAATGTCCAGTTTGGGCAATAAACAAAGTGTAAGAAATGTGTGAGTAGCCGTTTTACTCCGATGTGTGAGCCGAAAAATCAAAAAAATCGATTTCTCCCCCAATAAAAACAAAGTGCAATAAATGGCCATAAACGCCCGATGAATTTTAAATAACCAAACTGTGCTTTAAAACGTGAAAATTGTGTTTGAAAACGGGATGTTTTAAAAACGAACAAGGCCCATAAAATTAAATATTAATACAACTAAGTAAAGAGCAGAAACTAAAAGAGCAGGCAGCAGCTGACAAAAAGAAAACTGAACGAAAAATTTAAGATACAAGTTAAGAGTGTAAGTAATTTCCAAAGGAAGATTATGTTTAAATAAAATATTTGGGGATTCCAAAAGTTTAAATAAATTGAAAGTGCCTGTGCAGCCCTGGTTTTCGACTCCACAGCTGTTCTTTTTGCACCACATCCCTGGTTTTGGGTTTTCGGAATCAGTTCGCTCGCGAACAACACGAAAGAACAACACCAAAATCTCTTTGGCTGCGCGAATATATCCAAATATTCGTTGTTTTTCAATATTTTGGAATAGTTTAAAATGTGCGAGATGATTGTTTCGTTTTACCGAGTATCAAAAATGTGACAGTTTCAAAATCACCCTTTGTTTTTCGAGAGTTTTTGTCGGCGTTTTTCCCACTTGTTTTTTACGCACACTACGCGCGAGTTGCGTTTGTGTGTGTGTGTGTGCGTATGTGTGAGCGTTCGTGTGAATAAAAAAATCGATTCTGTTGTAAGTTTTTGCCATTAATTACTCCGCCACAGATTAAAGCTATTCTATTGTATCGATGAAAATGTGTAACATGTGTGTCCGACCAAACCCAACAGCATAGATATCTTGTCATGCTGGTCGAAATGGATGCTTGTTTATAAAGCCAAACCAGTCCTAAAAAAAAAGTGGCGTGGGCGGACTTGAAGTTTGCCATCGGAGACAGAGTCCCAAAGTTGCCACAAAAATGTTCATAGTATCTGTAATCCGACGCAACAGTGCATTCTAAAATCGGTGCAGCAGGCCCGGTTTTATTTACCGCATAAGGCGGAGTTTACCAAAGGGAATGCGACTTCATATGATTCTATTAAATCATATTGGAAATGAGTTAAAAAGTGGGTTTGCCATACCTAGGGTCCGAGAGATCCCGAAGATTTGTTGACAAAACATAAACTGCAATCCAAAATCTGTCCAGCTAGTCCGGTTTCATGTACATATACATACCTTATAAGGCAGAACATGCTAAAGGTAATTCGATTTCATTTGGTTGGTCTATCAAATCAAATTGGATCTGAGTGAAAATAAGACTTTTTTATGATCAAGGGCTCAAATTTGTAACATAACAGATCATAGATATAATCCAAAATCGGTTATGCATATATAACGTACAGCTTTTAACTCCCTCTTCATTAACTTTTAACCCAAAGGTAACTTTTATCTTAATCCAATTGGTTTGTTAAGAAGAAATAATATATGGATTTGTTTTTTCTAAACAATATTTTTAAATTTGTATATTTTGAAAAATAATTTGTTAAAAGTCTTGCAATATAATTAGTTAAAATGTCCATCTAGCGATAATAGTAGCTGAGTGTCAAAAAGTCAATTTTAAAAATTCTTTAATTTACCTAATTGATTTAAGTTAGAATAAGCCTTCGTCACTTTTTTAAATACTTAGTTGAAGATTTGCGAATCACAAGAAGCTAAATCATTCCAAGTTAGTTTTTAAATTAATATACAAAACTCCAACTCATTTGAGCATTTAACGCTTGAAGATGAGTTGCATATTTTGTTGTGAGTCATAAGCTCAAACTGTTTAGCATTAAATCCGTAAAATGTAGTTGATTAGGTTAAATTTACTACCGAAAAATTCTCACCGAAAGTAGGAATTAGAACATGGGGTTTTTAGCGAAATGGAAGATGCAAACAAAAGTTTCGGCGGTGGTAAAAGAAGGGAAGCCGCGAACCGCATTATCTTCTTGGCTTGACCCAAATTGCAACTGCAACCTCTGAACTCCCGCCTGTGGCCTTTGCTTTGTCTTTGTGCCTTCAACTTCATTGTCCTTCTGTGTCCTGGGTTTGGTTTTTTAATGCTTTTTTATGCTACCACCCCAGTAGATTCGTACTTCCACTCCGCTTTTTCTTCGATTCATGCGTTTTTTTTTATCATTTAATGTGCGGCAAGTTAATTGCCAAAAAGAACTTTGCCGAGCTGTTGCTGCTGTCGCCTTTTATCTGTGGCAAGTTTTTAAAGTATCTCATACCAACGCCAAACTCATTTTAGCCGGGCCGAAATTAAAAGCTCGCCCGCCAGCCTCATTAGTTGGCAATTATGGGCCAAATGGCTTGTCAAAGTAAGAATTTCCTTATTGAAATTGTTTTGCCCTGCGGAACCGGGGAAGTAAAAAAGATTCTCCACTTCCTTCGCTATCAATAGGGTTCGCAATTTTTTGCTTTGCTGCAAATGCTCATTTCCTCCCGCTTAAATGACTTTTCATTTCTATTTGACGAAGACGGCATTTTAATTAGATATTTTAGCTGAATACACACGACACCCGATACACCCTAGTGTGGAAATTCTTGGCTGGTTGAGACGGATGCATTCTACTTGGAAAAATTTGCAGTTTTCCCTTAGGGTTGCTCCGAGTCCAATGACCAGGCTAGGCATCCCCGTAATCCTTGCTAATGCGGGGGTGGAAGGAAATTGATTTCAGAGGGGTTTCTATTTTGGATTTGCACCCCTTCACATCCTGGCTAAAAATACGATTGCAGTTTTTGAATGTATCTGAAGTTAGCAATAAATAAAAACCTTTTACTATTGTCGATATACATTTTAATTTAGTTGTTAAAATATTAGTTTCTACCATAACTTTAATTCCTTGTCAAATTCTTTCCCAACTAAATTGTGGTTCATTTAATTAAAAACTTTAAATACTCAACTTTCACACTATTCAACTAAGTTTCAACCAATCATACATATTCGTATGTACACTTTGAGCAAGTTTAATTTATTTTCTAATTTAACAAATTGTAGATTCACTTTAAAGTTAAATATTGTATAAACACCAGAATATTCCTAGTTTTGCCATATTGTTTGGTGACATCACTATCTTTAAAGTGCACTCTTATCTAAATTGAATGTTCTTTATTCTTGTCAACTGCTCAACGGGTGCTACAATAAAAATTGCCTTGTGCTAGTCTCTGACCCATATCAACACTCATAAAATGGAAATAACTCTTGCCGAACGCGGCCAACTAGCTTAATATCTTGGCCGTTAGTCAATTTTATTTGTTATCTATGCGTTTCCATGACTTGACTTATTTGGCTTGCTGCTCTTGAGCCTACGCAAAATGCCGAAATATAATCCACTTGGCTTAAGGGCCGTCATATACGCATTGATAAGCTTTGGTCGACTTTGTGTCATGGTTTTCAACGTGCGGGAAAATGGTTGTAGTTGTTTACTTTAGCGATAAGATGTTATGAATGAAGTTTGGTCATGCAGGTTGGTTATGTTAAAGTATTTGGAAAATTATTCTTGCTACAGTTAAATATCTACGTTCAAACGGACTAATAAACGAGTTTATTTAAATACGGTCAAATAGTGAGTCTAATCATGAAGATATATCATTTATAGAATCGCAAACTTCTCCTAATACCTGTTACATACTTCTTAACAACTGAAATATACGTCTTTAACATTCGAGTATAATTAAGAACAACAAAGTCTAATTCTATAAAAAAATTAAATTTTATCTTTTAAAACAAATGTGTTTTGTTCTTTTTTGTTTGCTTAGCTAACATTTTGATACAATTATGTTAAGTTTACAACATTCTTGTATATTCTATGTTTTAACCGTTCTATAAATGTTCAGAAAGCACCAAAAGTATTCAATAAAACTTTTAGCTCATGTGTAGACTTTCCAAAACGAGAGCTTTTCCTTCATATAACATCAGGTCTCATTGCAGGTCCAAAATATTTCTACTTTTATGTGTTCAAGTTGCTATCCTGAATTGTAGCACTCATTGTAATGTTATATGCATTTTCTAGTAGCAAAGCTTTTTCTGTGTGTCCTTTCTGTATAAAAGTACTCCCACATAATGGAACACATAATCTCGAAGCTTCTGTTCTTCATATTACATCTGGCATAATAATAGTATTAAATGCTTTTTATACATTTTATCTTTCGGTTTATAACAAAGTGCTATAACAAGCGTATGCCTTTTATAACAGTAGACAATCCACCCCCGCACGTCGGAAAGAACAACTATTATACATCCTAAGTTTTCTATAAAACGTGTATAACAGTTGTAAATCCACCCCTCTCAAACCGAAATTAACTATTATACATCTTGAGTTTCCAACCCTTAAGCGTTCATTTTAGCAATAAAATGTGTATAACAGTGAACATTTTACCCCTTTGAGACGTAATGAACAACCATTATACATCCTGAGTTTCCTACCCCTATGCGTTCATTTCAGCAATAAAATGTGTATAACAGCGAACACTTTACCCCCTTTGAGACGTAACTAAGAACCTTTATACACCCTGAGCTTCCTACCCCTAAATGTTCATTTGAGATGTAAAAGACCGCCGATGATACAAATGAACAGAGATTTCCCCCTCACTGATGGCAATGTGAATTGAAATGGTTTTCTTGCTCACTCAGCTGCGAAGCTAATGAATGAGTTAAAAGTGCATATTCCCCTATTTCAAATCCTTAGAGTGCCCTGCGCTGCCAAGGCTTTTGTGGAATAAAGAAAAAAAAAAGCTAGTAGCACGCATATAAATTGCACGTTATTACCCGGTGCAACTGCAACTGTAGAATCGGACAGACATTGCATCCCTTGACGGTCACATTTTTTGCAAGTTCTTTATTTTTTTTATATTTTTTTTGCATTTGCATTTCGCACTAACAGAAAAATAAGCAACCCATGGAAAATGAGTAAAAAAGCAAAGCTTTTACTTTAATTAAATGCGTGCGTGCTGGGAGAGTTCCAATTTAGATTTGCTCTGACTTTGTTCTATATATCCCCCAGATGTTGGCTCCTTGATTAACGGCAGTCGCCTTGGAGCTCCTTTCCACGATGCTCCTCCTGTTTCCTGGCTCCCCAATGATTTTGCATAGCACACTTTTATGCTGATTGAGTGCGGCTTATCTGCATTGCCATATGCTATATGCTATATGTGTATATATGCCATATATGCTATATTCTGTATTCCGTATGGGCGGGAGTGCGTTAAGCCCGACTGAATTATGACATAACTCAACCGTTGGTCGTTTATGTCAATTGTAAGCAAAT